AGGTCAGCATTGCATGAGTTGATTGTAACAGTACAAAGAAGAAACTTGATTTTTAAGGCTTCTAATTGCTATGATATTTGTCATAATAAAGTGGAAGATGTGTTATATGTCACTCAAAACTATATTGAAGCAAGTGATGCCTAAAATTATTTCATTTCATCTCATGAAGAAGGTATATTTTTCTCTTTAGACAAGAAAAATTAGTTTGCTTAGAACTTGCAAAATAGAAGACAACACAATGGACTAGATTGGGGTGTTCTTTTTGCAACTGCAATCTATTACCTTTGGAGATCTAGAAATGATAGAATATTTAATAGGGTTTTTGCTTTATCATTAGCACTCAAAGAAAGATTCTATACTTTGCTAGAGTAGTGCAAACAAGCTCAAAGAATGATGTGAGATCAACGAGCATGTTAAGACCAATGCAAAGCAGTTGGGAGCCTCCCATGAATGATTGGATCAAGCTTAACATTGATGGTGTTATGGGATGCAACCCAGGTAGAGCTAGTTGTAGTGGTATCTTTCGCAACACTAGAGGTCAATGGATGAGAGATTCCATCTATAATTTGGGAACTTGTACAGGTGATTTATAGTCTCAAAATGACTAAGCTTATTGTAGAAAGTGACAACATGTCTATAGGTCATGAGGTAGAAGAGGCGCTTGAGGGTAATGATAGTCATCAATAGTAGGCATGGCATGCAATTAAACTTCTAACAAAGAATTGAAAAATAAGGGTGAATTATACGTGCAGGGAAAACAATAAGTGTGCCAACTAGATTGCAAAATCTTGTATGAATTAATGTATTAAGTGTAGAATTCTTTCTGAACCTCCTAAAAGTCTCATTGAGTGGTTGTATCAAAATAACAGGGATCATAATGATCCTGTATTACTTTTTTGTTAAATAATAGTTTGGGCTTTGCCCTATTTCTAATTAAAAAAATTAAATGTAAAATTTGAAATACAATATTTTAAAACAAAACTTGAAGTTAGAATTCATCAATTCAAACACTACTTTAATAAATTCACAAGTAGGCATTATTGAAATGACAAGTTTTATAAGAATGTTTACAAATCCACTTCATATCATAATAAGTTAACAAGATTGAATATGTAATTGGTACATTGATAAGTTTTACTAGTAAATTAATCATTACACACTAATAAAATGACAAGAAAATTTAGAGTTTTAACAAGCTTATTTCATTTAGATAAATGAACAAATTAGTCCTTAAACTATAAGTTTAGAAGGGTTTAAAACCCTAAACTCATCTTTTATATAATATTTCCTTTTAACTTTTAAAAATAGTGTAATCTAACTCTTACTATTAATAAAAGTTAATTTTGATTGTTAGTTGACTAAAAAATGATCTAAAAGGACATCAAAATTATAAAAACTAACCCCAAAATTATTGTAAAGACCAAACAATTGCAAATAATGGCCCAAACAATTACAAAAAAGACCAAGGAATTTTTTGTCTTTTTTTTGTATTCTTTTTTATCATTTTCTAATCAACTAACTGTAAAAGTTAAGTTTTGCTAATAGCAAAAGTCAAATTATATCATTTTCAAAAGTTTAAGGAAAATATTGCATAAAAGATAAGTTTAGGATCTCAGATAATTTTGGATCTATAATGTAAGGGCCAATTTACTTATTTATCTTTTAAAAAATGAAAGACATTTTACTCATTTCTTATTAAAATATATTTTCAATTCAATTCTTAAGTTTTACAATGCAATTTTAGATTCTATTGATTCTAATTTGAAATTAAATCAGTGCAAGGTTTTTAATTAAAATTCTCCCGTTCATAAACAAGTTTTAGACTGCGAAGCATTGCTTGGCTTTCAAATTTCAACTTACCAAATTTTTTTATTTTAAAAATATATTTTTTGGCCAAAATGTACTTACTTGATTAGCATTTTCTACAAGATTCATCGCCTCCAAACTTATTTCCATATTCATCTACATCTCATCCCACTTATTCTCTAAAATCCAAAAGTTTCCTGGTTATCATCCCAAAAATAAAGATTAACCTAAAGTTTTACGGAGAGATGGCAACACAGAATTGAAAGTTTACATCCTTTGATGTTAACTTATACTCTTTTTAATCTTATTTATAAATTATTTTTACAAATATTATTAATATTAATATAATAAAAATATAAGGAATAAAAATAAATAAAATTTTAAATATAACCCTCAAACAAAAAGTAAAAAATAAATTAATTATATAATATTATTTTTTTATCTTTTATTTTTTAAAAATAATTTAAAAATTTTAATTTAAAATAAAATAATTTTATTAATAAATAATTTATAAAGTAAATTAAATTATATTTTTAAAAAGTGAATTATATATTGAAAGAGTATCAACGTTTGACTGTTAAACTTATACATGTTCTTCTCTTCTTTTCCCTGCAGTCTGCACTGTCCTTCTTCCCCTCTCTTTGCATCGGGAAGAGGATTTTTTTTTTTTTCCTACTTCCCTCATCTCTATTATTTATTAATTTTATTTTTTAAAAAAATTATTTAATAAAATAATATAAAAATTAAAGATGGAAAAAGAGGAGAGATAAGAAGAGAAAAAAAAAGAGAGTACACTCTTCCCTTTCCACTGGTCTTCTTCCTCAAAAGCTTCAATCCAGAAAGAGAAAAATTAAAAAACCAGGAATATTGCCTGAAAGCTAGACGACACATCAGCTAAGGCTAGTCCCACCCACTCATTCTTCCCTTTTCCTCCTCTCACTCTCCTCTCATGGAGGTTTTGGTGGGTCACACCTTCACCATCAACGTTTCCTCTTCCTTCGCCGTCTCCGACCCCCCAATGACCGTACCGTTCCTTCTTGGACGTTGACTCCTCCGAGAGCTTGTCGTATATCGAAACCCACAACGACAGCAACAACGATTTGTCGTTTAACAGGGATGGTGACATTCAGGAAGATGATGAGGAGGTGCAGAGCATGTTCCATGGTCTATGATCTCTGGATGCGTTAGAAGAATCGCTTCCTATCAAGTTTAGTACCCTCTTTTTCTCTCTATCCTTTTTCAATCCTCTCCTTACCCCCCTCCTCCTTATCTTCTCCTCATCTCATCCCCTCCACTATTAAATTATAAAGCGAATGATTCAGATTTAATTATTTTTTAACAAATTTAATTTTTAATAAAATAATCATCATATAAAAATAAATAAATTTAAATTATTAAAATTTAATCTGCATAATTTTCGGTCGTATATTGTTATTAAATTAAAATTATTTATTTATTTAGTTTATTGCAATTGTATATTATCCAGATTAAATTTTAACAACTTAAAATTATTTATTTTGGTTCTACTGATTCAGGGAGATGAATAAATTTATCCTGTAATCTCAAGTTTAAGTTTTGAAACATGTAATCATATTAAATAAATATATAAAAAATATTTTTAAAATATTCATGAGAGAGATTGTTATTTAATAGTTTTACAGTTGACTTAATATGAACATTCCTTATTAATATGAGAATAGAGATGGAGATGATGATGACGACGACAATGAAGGACGAGAAGGGACGCGCAAGGGGAGCGCCGCGGAGGCCGGAGTGGATCTGCTTCCCCTTTGTTTTCGTTGATTTGATTCTCTCTCTCTCTCCATGCGATATCCTAGACCCTAACCAGTCTACGTAGCCATTGTCCTTGATATTAGAAAGAAATAAAAAAAAAATGATTGAAAAGGTAAAAATAAGCATGAGACAATCAAAAAAAAAATATTGAATCACATTTATAAATAAAGGTGTGATTAAATTTATAGAGTTGAGAATCATAATTTATAAAATTATTAAAATATATTATAATTTTTATATTTATAATATATATTAATAAATTTTATTATATTCCATCTCTTTTAAATTATAAGATACTTTTACACAGATCTCATATACTAATAAATCTTATTAAATATATTTAATAACTTTATCTTTTCAAAATAAAAATATGAACTTTTCAAAATACCTATAATTCAATATATTAAAAAGAGAAGAAATGAAAATTAATTATAAAGAGAGAAAGAGTAATATTAAAATTGATACATTTCACATAACCTTAATTTATTCAAAATATTTTTTATTTTAAGACGAAAAAACTCTTTAAAAAATATCTTAAAATTTGAAACAGAGAAAGTACTTATTATGAGGAGAAAGGATGATTTAATTTATTTTTTTGTTAATTTTTTCAATTCATTCTATTCTATTATTTTTTAGTAATTAAATAGGACTTGAATACTTAGCTGGAGAGGTAATTCTGCTTTCTAATTTTCTAATGGATTAGTGTGATTCTATCTTCCACTGCAAGTAGATCTCATTTAGTGCTATTGGGAATGTGAGAATCTTTAAGCAATTTCAGGGTTTTTCTGATTTCAATTTCTGAATAATTTGTAACTATATTATCGATTGAATCTTAATTCATTTGGAAAGAATGGAAGGCATTTTGATCAATTTGATGACGATCCTATCTATCCTAGCATGATTGGATTGTATGCAGACAATTTCATTCTGACTGATTCATGCTGTGCATGATAGAGAAAAAGCTCAAGTGGGTGAATTCATACTACCTGGCAAAAAAAAAAAAAAAAACAAAGAACCCAGAAAACTCTGATTCGATTTTGTTTTGATACTGAAGTGCTTGACTTTAAATTTTCCTTTCTCCAACGATCTTCCCCTTTCAATCTTCCAGAATTGGAGCTTCTGCATATTTCCCTCTTTCGATCTTCCCCTTTTCTGTTTCGATTTCGGCAAAGAAGAACATATCATTCATGATTTGGGTTTGATTTAATTCTCTCTCCTGGAATTCACTGCGTTGGGTTTGCTTGATCTCACTCATTGTTTTAGATCCAGCATTGGATTTTTGCAGGAGGAAGAAGGAGGAGCAGGGATGAAATCACATGTGAATCTGTTATTTTATTTTATTTTTTAAAAATACCAGGTAACAACCGCTTAAAAAAATAACAAGACATAATTACACTTTTTATTTTTTTTTAATTTTAAAGCAATATTACTTCAAACAAAAAATTTAAAATACCTAATACTCCTTACAACAAAATTTCAGAATATTTTGACACTTTAATCATTTTAATTTAATTTCAAATTTAATTTTTATTATAACTCTTTTATAATTTTAAAATGTTTTTACAAATTTTGACCATTTCATCCCCCTCATTCAATTTGTGTTTTTATTATTAGCACCTCTATTACTCAGCCCTTTTCGTAGAAATAAACTTGTCACTCTTAAATTTTCACACTAGCCAAGCAAATTTTTTTTTTAAACATGATTTTTAAATGTAGATTTTAAATTTAAAATCTAAATTTAAATTTATCTATCCATAAGCCGCCTAGATTATTTTTATTTAAATCCAAATAAAAAATGGAAACCAAAAATTTCACTTTTACTTTACTTTCCCACTATTGGCAATCCGTAAGCATTCCATTCCATTCCATGGAACCTTTGTCCCAAAACAGCAAAATTTTCTGAAGAAAATAGAACAGAGAAAGAAGAATACGATCAAAATGTAATTTATTTTCTCATCTAAATAAGGGTAACCTTTTGTACAGAAGAAATTTAAAAAAAAAAATCTAAGAGCTAAACAAGAAGATCATGAAACAGTACTTCAAGATCCTGAAATCGAATGGCATGGGAAGAGATAAGATCATCTTATAACTTAATACAACACAGACTATGAGTGTCCGTGAAGTTGAAGATCGCATCACCAGACCACATAGATATCTAATTCTAAATCATAATTACCTAATAAAGTGGTAATTTTTTTAAAATTTTTTTCTCTCAATAAATAACGTGAGGACGCAAAAAATAATAATAATAATAAAACTCTTTAGCCACCCAGCAAAACCTGTGTTTTCCCCAGGTAATTTTCCCCAGAAAATCACATTTTCCTGAGAAAATAAGATAGAATGACTAAAGATACTGACCATCGTCATCATCGGGGGCATCAGAGACGTAAGACGGTGGCTTGGAGGTCATCGGCAGAGAGGCCGTTGTCGTCGTCCATCTGCGGCGGGTGGTTCAGATCGAACGGGAGGATTTTGCAGAACGAAGAAGTGAGGACACAATCCTCATCCTCAATTACCGAAGACGAAGAATCACAATCACTATGGCAATCATCTGGTGGAACAGGGTTCACAGGCCTTCGCTGAACCCTCGGGACCGACAGCACCGGATTGGACAACCTCGGACCACTGAAAGACTCGACGGTGCTGCTCATACTGCTCGTCGTCGGCCGATTCACCTGAACGGAAGGATCGAACTTCGAGAGATTACGATGATGGTCTTCGAAATCTCTCTGATTATAAAAAGGAATCTGAGACAAGCCCGATTCAGGGTTCGTCAAAGGGAAATTGGTCTTGGCCTTTGGTCCGCGAAACGACAGAGCCGCCGCGTCGTACGCACGCGCAGCATCCTCGGCGGAGTCGAAGGTGCCGAGCCAGACACGCGCTTTCTTCCATGGATCTCTGATCTCCGCGGCGAATCGACCCCATGGCCGCTTCCTCACGCCTCTGAATCTGATTTCCTTCACTGGGTTCTTCAATTCTAGACCGATCTGTTTGCTGATTGTGGCTGTTGTTGGATCTGCGGCTCTAGATCGTCGCATGGGGGACGAAGATGATGAAGATGAAGAAGAAGAAGAAGGTTCGATTGGAGATGGTTGGTGAGAGAGAGAACAAATAAGGTTAAGGTTTTGAAGATATGAACAATCTCACCAGCCACCATCACCACCTCCTTCAAGGGAATAATCCTTAATCCTGGTTCTTCATCTCTCTTCTTTTCTTTTGTTTTTTTTTTCTCTAAATATTTTTTTTCCTTTTTACAAAAATCTTTCCCTTTCTCTTCAGATTTCCCTGTCGTGTGTTGGTGCGGTTGTCTGATGATTTTCTTTGGTCTGATCTTTATCACCCTGCCCCTTACCCTGCCCCTCTGCTACGAGTTCTTTTCTTTTTTTGGAAATTAAAAAAAAAAACCAGGATTTTGAAATGAAATCTAAGATTATGGTAATAAAGTATTATTATTAATTTAATATCATAATTTTATTTATATAATCTGAAATCTTAATTTACAAACTGTTTATTATACTATTACATATCATAACATTGTTTGCTGAAGTTTGTCTATTATATATACATTTTTTTTGATTTGATAATAATATTTAAAATGTACTATTACATTGTTGACCAAAAAAAAAAAACTATTATTACTTTGTATCTTTAGATGAAGTAAGCTTTGTATTTGTAATAATAATTTAAAGATATTATAATTCCAAAACATATTTGTGATAATTGTAATAATTTTTTAATTATTCAAATTATTTAATTTTATTTTCGTATTGCTTTTATTTTTAATTATATTAAATTAAATTAATCTTAAAAGACTGTTTGCATTTTATATTTTTAAATCTTGCAAATAAATTTGGTGATTCGAAACCATTAATGTGATGTTGGTAAAAAAAAATCAATGTGATTGAGATTTGTTAAAAGAAAAATGATAATAAAATTTTTTAAATTATATAAATGACAATCTAATTTTTTTAAAATATTATTATTTTACTAAAATTTTTAAGAACTTTTATATTATTAAATTTTAAAATAAAAATATTAGGACTTATATGTTAATGAATTTTAAAGTGAAAAGATCATTTTATCTTTATTAGAGATAATAAATTTCAATCACAACTTTTACTTAAAAAATAATAACTTTTGTTTTGTAAATTATAAGAACTAAACAAGAAATCACAATTTATTAAGTGAAATTTTGTTGAAAAACTTTTCAAAATAACAAACTATAATTGTAATTTTTGTTTAAGAAATAATAACTTTTATTCTGTGAATTGTAAGAGTTGAACAACAAATCACAACTTAACAAATGTAATTTTTGTTATTGAAAAATAAGTTCTCAAAATAACAAATCTCAATCATAACTTTTGTTTAAGGAATAATAATTTTTATTCAAAGAATTATAAGAATTGAATAAAAAATCAAAACTTATCAATAAAGGTAACATGATCTTTTCAATTTAAGATTTATTGATACAAAAATTTATAAAAATTTTAGTAAAATTATGATATTTTAAGAGATTAAATTATTATTTATATAATTTAAAAGATTTTATTGTTGTTTTCTCTTTGTTAAATTTCAACATATATATTCCTTTAGAAAATATTTTTCTTTGGTACAATAATTATTTTAATGGCTAAATTAAATATATTGTTCTATTTATTTATAGGGTAAAGTTTGAGCGTAGAGTAGGATTTTTAATAAAATACAAATGCGATAATTTATTTTATACTTTATATAATACTCACTCTGTTTAAAAATATAAAGTAATTTTTTAGGAGTTGGATGTTAAAAAATTAAGGTATTTTTAATTTTTTAAGGTATAATTGTTACCTTTTTTTAAAAGCTCTTATTGATAATAATTTTATATTTATTGTAAGATATTTAATAGGGATAAATATGAAAAGATATGGTTAGTTAAAAAATAGGTAACTACTTTATTAGTGAGTAAAATTTAATTAAAAATGTCTTACATTTTTAATGGAGGGAGCATAATATATATTATGTCTAATATAATATAATTTATATTTGAATTTTACTATATGAATGATAAAATATTGATATGATTTTGAAAACGCAACATGAAACCTTTTGTCATTCAAATTTAATTCAATTATCAATTTAATCTCTCAAATTAATTTTTAATTGATTTGGTTTTTGAAGTTTATCCCAATTATAAATTTAGTTCCTATTATTTAAAAAATAAGCAACATTGTTAAAATTTATTGACATTGATAATTGAATATAAATGGTAGATATAGATTAATAAAAAAAATGCAATTACTTAGTTAGGAAAAAACATACTCTAAAATTTAAAAAAACATAAAAAAATGCAATGTCAGGAATTATATTGATAAAAATTAAACTAAAGTGAGGGTTAACTTATTTTTATTTAACTAAATATACATATCAAGTTATTAATATACTTTATATATTAGATTAATTTGAAGGGTTAAATGGTAAATTGACCTCTAAACTATAGGTATAGGAGCATATAGAATTTTAAACTCATTTTTTATGTAATATTTTTTTTAACTTTTAAAAATGGTGCAATATGATTCCTACCATTAATAATAATTAACTTTAATTGTTAATTGATTGAAAAATAACAAAAAACCTCAAAAGTTATAAAAAATGTTTGATAAAATTTTCTTGATCCATTTTTATAATTTGTGAATCATTTTCTATAATTTTTGAGATTTTTTTATTATTTTCTGATCAAGTAATAGTTAAAATTAACTTTTATTTATAATAGGGTCAACATTATATTGTTTTTAAAAGTTAAACAAGGAATATATACTTAAAATAATTAAATTTTCTAGACACTTTTGTATATATAATTTAGGTGTTAATTTATTATTTAACCTTGAATTTAAGGGTTAATTTGTATTTTGAAAAAATATCAGAGATTAAATAGATAATCATGACAAATGTAAAGAATTAGAAGTTGTGATATTGTTTTGTCGTATAAAAGAAAATAGTCATAAGTTATGAGTGTTTTTACTATTTGTTTGTTTCCTTCCCTTCTTGTGGGGTCCACTTGTCCTGCGATGGCAAAGGTGATTCTGCCTATTTGACTCTCCGGATTTCCTTCTTGCTTTTTTTCACTGAAATTTAATTTAATTTAATTTATTCGAATAGTGTAACTTGTCTTTGAATGATTTAATATCTTTTTTATTTTAAAAGGAAGCAAATGATTATATTAAATTATCAACAATAAAGCAATTAAGATATAATAGTAATATTATAATTATTGCCCCCAGAGAGGAAAAGTTAGAATTCAAACTCCTGTCATTCTTTGAAAACAAAACATTAAAATGTGGGTCTTTCAAATCCTACATGATATCTGTTGTTGAATTGATTTCCAGTGGATGGGAATCAATTTACTACCTTGCTCGTTGTTCTCTTTAAAAAGTTTTGACACTAGTTGTTCAACTGTTTTGTTTTGTTTTTTATTTTTTATGGGCATCTTTCTAGAGAAAATATTAATTAATGACTGTTGAAGTAAATATATATTAATAAAAAATTACTTGTAATTAAAATCTAAATGAACACTTATTGATTCGGATTATTCTTTTATCAATAATTTATTTTAAATTAATAATAATTTATTTAAGTTTGTTTTTTATTTGAGTTTGTCACACTGTAAAAAGATTAACTTTTTCTACTACGTCAAATCTCAAAAAGTAATTTCTGAACTGGTTAGTTACCTTTGACAATTCAGATGCGAGATTAAAAAAATTAAAAAAATGCCATACATATAGCAATGTGGGCCTTGGTCTTGGTTGTCATGGGTCGTCTTTGTTGGCATTGTTTTCTTGGGCTCAGTTTCCTTTTACTTTTGTGCGTGTTTGTTTTCGGACTATGGAATTCTAGCTTTTGTACTAAAAGCCTTTTATGTTGTACTCTCTTTATTGTGTGATAACATTTGACTTGTTATTAAAAAAAAAAAGATTAAAAGAAAAGAATAGAGAGAGAAGCATAAAAACAACCATTGCAACCGTGTTATTGAGCAAGTGCTTAAAGAACTTCATACCATATTTTGCTCCATGCAAGTTGTTCTTTAATTTTTGATAAAAAAAAAATGTATGATCCAGCATCAACTATTCATCTTGCTTTTGATGTATTGGAAGTCTTTTTTGAATGCCAATTCTCGAAGACATCCTGGACTTAATTTCCAAGCTACTAAAAGTAGAAATATTAAGGATTATAAAGCGAATTGGCCTCTAAATTATAGATCCAGGAGTATTTGAAACTCTAAACTCATTTTTTGTGCATTTTCACCTTACAACTTTTGAAAAATAATACAATCTAGTCTTACCATTAATAAAAGTTAATATTGAGTGTTAGTTAATTAGAAAATAACAAAAAAGACCTCAAAAATAACAAAAAAATGATCAATAAATTTTTCTTAGTTCTTTTCTATAATTTTTTTGGATCACTGCTTGTAATTTTTGAGTCTTTTACTATAATTTGTTGATCATTTTTCTACAATTTTTAATGTTCTTTTGTGTCATTTTTTAGTCTACTAACAGTCAAAGTTAACTTTTATTAATAGTAGAGGTTGTATTGCATCATTTTTAAAATATAAAGAGGAAGATTGTATAAAAAGTAAATTTAGAGTTATAAACTCTTTTAGATCTATAGTTTAGGGGACAATTTTCTCTTTTACCTAAATATTAATGTTGATAATGTCGAGCGTGGTAATGGTAAGATGTTTACAGTTAATTTTGCCTATGTTGAGAAGTCTTTCTTCTACTAGTAGAATTAGATTGAAAGCATGTAACTACGCTTATGGATATGGTGATTGTGTTGTTACTATGGGTAAGCATGCTTTAAACTTGTCTCCCCTTTTCAAATCAAAGCAAAGACTATATATATATATATATATCTTTTGGTCTGAATTGGTGAGGTGTTAATTCTACAACTGACGTTTGTGTTTATTCTGACTATTTTCTATCAGTGCAGATTTTAAATAATGGGCAACCTTGGCCTGAATGGGGTTTGTTTGGCACTACTAGTGGATTTTTTCAATAGTCTTGGAGGATCGATGAGCATTCGTTGCTTCAAATAGATCCCAAGACATTCTATTGCTGCTACAGACTGGATTGCTTGTGCAACTTCTATATATGTAGAAGAGCTCTATCAATTGGGTTGTCCAACATGCTTCTCGTTTGGCTTCAATCCTAGCTATTTTGTTTCCCCCATAGCTTGGAGCTCTGGTTCTTAGCTTTTTAGGGTTTGTTTGGTTTTTGTTTTCAAAAACTGTTCTGGTTCTTAGCTTTTTTAAAACACTGTTCTGGCTTCAACCCTAGCAATTTTGT